GTGAAACGAATCAAGAGCAAAGTGAAGAGTTGATTGATTCAAAAAATTTCGTTCAGAAAATAACCGATTGTTATTACATCAACAATAGCATAGATTCGGTGGGATTGATTTGCGGCAATGCCAACGAAAGTTACGTCAGAGACAGTTGTTACTCATCTCTTTTTGAGGATGAATCAAAGAACATCAGCCGCTCGAAAGTGAAATATTTAAAAACGGATGAATGTCGATCAGCGACATTTGATGCCAGTCTGGCTGAAGTGTTTCCGAACATATTTTCATTGGATATACCATCATTGGGCTATACAATTTTACCTCATGACGAATCAACAATAGCGGATAGTTTCAATTTTCCAAATCTGATCAGATTGAATGCATCTTTTAATGAAATCGGTGCAATCGGCGATATGTTTTATTATACGGAGAACATCAACGAGATTGATCTTTCACATAATAAATTATTGAGTATTTTCGAAGAATCATTCATAATACCGGATGCCATAAAAGTTGTCAATCTATCTCATAATTTAATTGTCTCTTTGGAGCTATCGTCATTTGAGAATCTTGGCGGATTACTGGTCATCGACTTAAGTGATAATTTGTTGCAGACATTTGACTTTGGTCTATTTACTCGCAACGCTCTATTAGAGATGATTCATCTGGAAAATAACCGAATAAAAACATTGATCTTTGCCATGAATTTTATGCCACTTTTTGATACGCTAACATTTTTCAGTGCAGCCGGTAATCAAATCGACAATTTTAATGAAATCATCATTCAGTGCTTGGGATTTGGAGAGCTTCACTCACTTGATTTGTCCGGAAGTTCGCTCAGTCATATCAACTCCAGCATGTTTAAAGGGCTAAACAATCTTAAACGATTGAACTTTAGTCATACAAATCTCACAAAATTCGATTTTAACGCATTTGAACATCCAGAGAAAATTTTACAAGTTGATTTGTCCAACAATCATCTAAATGAACTTAATCTCAGTTTGACGACGAATTTCACAAGTTTAGAACAACTTTACTTACAAGGAAATGATTTGAATGAACTGAAAAATTTGTCAAATTCCACATTTCCAATGATGGAAAGTCTTGGCATTTCGAAAAATTGGCTTTCGTGTGATTATGCAACAGAATTTGTGCATCAATGGAGCGGAATACAAGTCATCGGAGACCCGTGTGATCAAAAGACTGAAGAAAAGGAGAGTGACGAAAAAGATTATTTGATTCAATATGTAATTTTCGCTCTTGCCATCGTTTTAATACTTATTATTACCGGGATTTGGTTTATCATTCGACGGAGAAATTCATCAAAAACTCAACAGAGCAATAAACCAACCACTCAGCAAGTTCCTGACCATATCGTTCATTGGATCGCCGAACAAATACAACGACCAAATAGCAATCAACGGTCTGATACAAGTTCACAGACACCTTACGAAGCGCCACCAAACTACGATGGAATCAATCCAGCAAGCGAGCCATCGGTGAAATATGACCGTTTAAACTTAGGTCTTCAGCCAATTCTTCCACATTATGACAATTTTAGAACATCAAACCGTGGAAAAAATTTAATAGAACCTCGCAATACCCCAACGCTGCCTGCACGAAGACAGCGGTACTAACGGTTTCTTTGATAGAATTGAATCTCTGTAAGACTAAGAGGATTTTATGAAGGAACAAACAAGTAGATCATGTGTGCTTATACGAAATAATAAACTGATAAAGTAATCGAATACTTCTTTTTTTGTTCTATTTTTGCACCATTTTTTAATTATTATCTCAATTTTCAGGTTTTTGATGTGGTCAATCCCCTTTTTTAATCAGTTGTAGCTGTCTGCTTTCACTTGACGAAATGACGGTATAAACAAGTCAGGCCGCGCTAGCGTCCTATCTAAATACATTATAATGAATAAGTACAAACTAATACATATGCATTTCTACTATGAATACGTTTCATGCTATGTGTTTTAATTTCATTTAATTTTGGAAATTGAAAAAAAAAAAATATTTCTCGACAAATCATATTTTAAAACATCATTGCAATAAAAAAAAACTTCCAAGTAAGGATGAATATATTGATATTGAGTAAGAAAATTCGGTGAAATCGGTGAAATACTTGAATCAAACATAAACGTTTGAAAAACGTACGACGCGCGCCAAAGCATAAGTGATGTCAAAGTGTGTACAAAGAGTGAAGCAATAGTGCGTTTAATGCTATGTGCTATAGTGTCTCTGTTGATGTTGATCGCTGACGTTTATAGTGGTAGAAACAAGTGAATCATTTATAAATAAAAACGGTTGAAGTGTTTTACATTGCTTGTCATGGTTATCAGTGATAAGTTATCTCAGATCTCCTTCGTATTGCACAGAGACACGCACGATAAAGCTACGTTTCGTAAAAAAAGACTTCAGTCATAGGTTCTGACATAGTCTGATCTCGTTGATCCTGACCCCCCCCTGGCAAAATTTGACCCCCAACGATTTTTTCGGACTCATTGCCATTTTCGGACCATTTTTTTTTGCTCCACAATTTTGCTGCGAAGGGAACATTAACACTAGATAGAATTGATTTTTTTGACCCCCAAAGGAATTTTTGGTTTGACCCCCCCCTGAAATTTTTGGTGTCAGAACCTATGACTTCAGTGCTTGTCAAGATTACGAATTGACAGATAGACACATCTCAATCAATCTTTCGCCATTGGAAATGATGAAGAAATCGATTAGTTTTATTTGTGAAGAGACAAGCTCTTGGACTTAGTTCATATTTTGCCATTTAATTTCCTTCAGTTTTTGAATAATTAAAGATTTTGTCTTTATTTGGGAAATTAAATAAGTTTACTAAATTTCAAGTGAGTTGTTTTTATGTTTACTATGCACCATACTGTAATGAAGCCAATGGAGCCAGTGTGCAACAGAAGTCTTATATGCAAGAAAAACTTATTTAAATGTTTTCAGTACTCGTTCATGATGATAATACTCGTTGGATTGGAAGTCGGACTCATTTGTTCCGCTTATTCGAAAAGAGATCAATTTACAGAGCACAGCACATTTGGAAACAGCGTTTCGAATGAAGTCATTTTTTCACTAAAATAACAACGAAGAGATTGACAGTCTTTGCTCGATAGAACGGCTTTCGAAGCACCCCTAATGCATTCTTTGGTATCATCACGAATGTAACATTCGTCACATACCTCGAACAATAGTCATTAACGTACCTGAACAGATATCTGTACATTGCTCGATGCATTCGGCATAATTCATTTGAATCCTCATCTTCACCAATTTCCGAGTTCGAAATCAAATGGCCAAACGATCGCAACAACTGCAAACTGGTTTTGAAATCTTCCAACAATACATTGGAATAGATACTATAGTGGCGCTCGAACTTTATAGAGCCACACTTTGTAGAGGCACACTTCCTAATGAGATAATCTCAAATTATTAATCCCAGGCGCGCCAATCACCTGTTCAACAAAATATGTCTAGCTGTACTACTACTAAACTACTAAACTACTAGCTGAAAACTACTTGCAGCGTAAGCCCTAAACATCATTGAATTCTTCTTAAATATTTTATTAAGCTCTTCTTCAGAAAAATGTGATGAATATTCATACGTCTTGCAAAAAAAAAATGAACATTTCTTTTGGGACATTTTTTATGAGAATCGGTTTCAAACATTCAGGTTATGAGTGTGATACTTAGCTATTGAGATTTGCTGATTAGTCTGTTTTTTTTTCGGTGGATTTCGGGATTTTTCTTCTCCGCAAAGTGTGATCTTTGTTTTTGATACAAAAGGAATGGTTCAAGTCAAGTGTTCAATTATCTGCTCCTTTTTGTGTTAAAAATGAACCATAAATATAAATACCCACAATATTTGTTTTAAATATCTGAAGAAAACATGATTCTAATTTGTTGAACTTTTAATTTATTTATTTACTCTAGAAAATCGTTCAAAATGATCGAATATTAAAAGAAGAATAAAAAAAGAAGAAAAATAAAAATGAACATCCTAAACTGATTCTAAAAGACAGTGTTTGATTTCAAACTGTGAATTTTTTTGTAGAGAAATTAATTTAATCGTCTTAATTATTACGTTTTAGCTCCACGTAAAATTGATGAAAAATACAATTTCCTTTCCTCACCGACCAATCGTCTCTCGATCGTTTGACTAAATCTGTGAATTTATCATCGATTTTCATGCTAAAGCAAAACTTGTTCAATTTTTGAATTCCATCAAAAATTCGAATGGCTTGATTAACTGAAAATGCGTATCGACACAAGTTGATTTCTCGCAGTGAGTGCATTGTTTTCAAAAAATCAAATTGTTTCTCATCTACACTTTCTGCTGAGCTGCTTGACGACGGGAGATTCAATTTCATGATGCCGGGATGTTTTGCTATGAATTCATAAAACTGTGAATTCAACCGATGATTGGTAGAAAATTCTTCCATTTGATTGAAAATAAGTGGGATTTTTGAAAGAAGTCTTTTCGAGTGTGAAAATTCAAGCTTAAACTTTTTTACATTATCAAAATTTACCGCTGATCCATTAAAATGAGCAAATGCATCGCTGTTGCAAACAATATCCAGGCTCTCAAGAGATTTCAATTTGGAAATATTTTCTAGCAATTGCATGTCACAAATAAATCTGGTGGAAAAATACTTTAGATTTGGATTCAATAATAAAACTGTGTGAATATTTTCTCTGGACGTGCTCAGCTGAAGATTTTCCAAATGACCAAAATGCTGTTCGATACATCGAAAGTCGGTAACTTTACAGCAATCCATTTTGAACGATTGAACGTTCGGGAACAAAATATTGAACGGTGTTAAATTCTTTTCCAAATAACAACAGAAAAATTCCACCGATTTGACTTTTCGGAATGGCTTTCGAAGGTATTTGAAGGCTTTGTTCCGCGGCAACATTTGGAATTTGATAGACGTCAGAGAATCGCAAAACTGATAAATGTATTGGAAGATGTATACACACTCAATATTATAGCGACATCTATTATTAAAATAGCTTGTAGTAAACGCATTCATAGCATTTCACTGTAGTTGCGATGTTACCTATTAAATTCCCCTGTGGTATGTAGTTAACAAGTGTCAAACATGAATGTGTCAGTACTACAAGGGAACTTAATAGGAAACATCGCAACTACAGGGAAATGCTATAAATGCATTTACTACAAGCTATTTTAATAATAGATGTCGCTATAATATTGAGTGTGTTTTATGAGGAAATTCGGACTTGTTCGAATAAATACTTCAACAAAGTTGAGAATATCTCACTTCAAAATTTCATCTGTTGCAATCTTTCAACAGTCCAATACTGTACTAATCAATTCGAAACTTGAGTCATTCTGAACAATTAACGCATTCAACATTATCCCTTTCACTCTTCCATTCTCTCTTCTCGTTAACTCTCCATTTCTCTCTTCATTCCGTTCACTCTCAACGGCAGCAAGCAACAAGAGACCAAGCGATTCAGTGGTATAGTCAATACGTGTGTAATATCTCTTTCACTTCAAAGTGGTAGTGCGAAAACTGTAAATAAAACGCAACTCTCTTCCTTGTCAACACTTAGATTTTTTTCGTCAACACTTTTGAAGTGTCAAACACTGTGACTCACCGTTCAAACTGTGACATTGAATGCGAGCCGTTCGCGCAATTAATTCAGTACGTATTCAATATGGCAGACGATCGCAGGAGATTAGCATTTCTATCAAAATTTGAGCATATTTGTTGCAATTACTGCTTTCAGTGTCTATCCAGCAATTCACGACTGTATGCACTGCAGTGTTATCACATTTTCTGTCAAAAGTGCCTTCCAAAAGGTTTTGGTTTTTCGTATATTATTTTTTGTTTTCTTGTTCAATAATTGTTCGATGTGTTATCGCTTTTCAAAATGCCAAACAACATTAAAAAAAAGAGAGTCAAAATCATCATATTTTCATCGTTATGACGAGAATTCTGATGATTCAGCTCAAAACCGTGTCTTAATTCTTGATCTTGTTGTTACCACTTTATGTTCTTGTTTACTTTCAGTATGTAAGCTGATTAATCGAAATCAGCGACTGCTTCAGTGTGGTATTTGCGACAAAGTTGCAAGATGTGCCGAATTTCCGGAAGATGTAAGATAATTTATGTTTATTTAGTCAGTTTTGCAATTTCATATATTTTTACTCTCGAAAAATCATATATTTTCAGTTTCTCAAATTTTTTGTGCCAATAAAATTCAATGGATTTTTCCGTACCATCGATTTTCGAATGAAATATCAGAAACGACGTGTCATTCTAATGGTAAGAAAAAGAACGAGTTTTCTTCTTTGAGAAAATTGCACAAATTGAAACTAATTGACTAAATGCACAGAGAGGTCGACTGTTTAAAATTCGAAATGCTGTGAAGCGATTGTACCAGCAAGGCTACGTCGTTCAACGCCAAAAGAGGAACTATTTGAAGAGAAAACGTGAAGCTATCCGCCGTCATCTGTTGAACGAGTTCTCAAATGATTACATTGACTGGCTAATTTCTTATCCATTGCGACGATTGCAAGGGATGCGCTTCCAGCAGAAAACCGTATGTTTTTCCATGCAATTTTCAAGTCAATTTTTAATGAATATTGTTCATTGTCTCTTTCGTTCAATCTCTCAATTGTTACGTATTGTTTTGCAATATATTTTCAGACGCTTCATTTCCGAGCACATTGACGAAGATTCATCGACACCACTCATTCGACAAGTGTAAGTACCTTTTTCGGAGAATGTTTTCTCCCGTATCCATTCAGAATGCTCACGATGTGAGCCTCACAAGTGAGGCCCTCACATTCATTACACAGCATTGTGACACACGCACACCTTAGCTGATCATTTATTCTGATTTCCACTTTGATTAGCCTACTGAGAAACGCATCGTTATCACCTTCAAGTTGTAGTCGCAACCGAAGCAGCAGCCATTGATGACATCCAAAACACAAACACTTGCTCTCTATCATGAAAAGAAATTTGTTCATACGTTTAGAACTGTTGTACTTTTCGCTTATCAATCGGTTAATGTGGTTCGAATGTGGACCGATTGTCTGGACACTCTCAAAAATCAGCCATATCTGTTATTAATATACCTTGTAGTAAATATCAGAAAATTGAGAAAATAATAGTATGAAATTAAAGCTAAAAATGAAAAAAACGAACCATTTGTTGACATTTATATGAAATTCGCGTTAGATCTTGGCTGCAATTATTGATATCGATATGATATGTGTCAAACCTTTATTCAAGACTTGAGTTCAAATGTTGAAATGCAACTGATTGTCATTTTTCTTTTCATCTACCTTTATAGTCGAATATTTGTTATTTCAAACTTTAGAATACAGAAAACTCCATCCAAGTTTCAAAGGAAAAAAAGGAATGGGCGGTGATTTTAAATCGTAAATACCCGAGAAAATCACATGTTTCTATATGTTAAAATCTAATCGATGCAATTTTTGGAAATATTACTTAAATTAATCCATTCCTTAGAAATGCAACAGTTGTGCATCAAAATATGGATCCAAACTAGAATCGAATCGAGGAAAATCGAAAAGACGGTGGTGTTTTTATTTCACAAGGACATATAGATCTCATTTTTATTACCTACCTCATTGTAATTCCACGAAATATTTTCTTAAGTCTAGCCGAAAATTGTCCGAAGAAATGGATTTCATAAGAAAAAGATGGTGTACTTTCACACAATGTGAACCAGTGTCACATGTCAAAGTGTTTTTTTTTTATGAACCTCATTCAAAGCTGCACTATTAAACCCAAAATAGTGTTTATTTTCTCTCTTTCATTTATTAATCTCCATTTGTACAATAACAAGATATTTTGGACTGTTCTTTTTCTCTCCACACCTTATCAAGACCATTGCATACAATTGTCTTTTTCCTACAGCTAAAAATCGCTAGGATCCGATGAAACTCTGCAGTTCATGAACAAAAATAAAGTGAATTGTAAAAAACATGCGATTAAAAAGGGAAAAAATTCACTTAATCGATTACAAAAAATGAAAATAGAAAAAAAAATCGCGTTGACGTCATAGAAATATCGTTCAAGCATAGAAATATCTATACATTTGTAAGTGTTTTTGTACATAAACAATAAACACAGAATAAAATCGCTTACAAACTAGACAAAAAAAGATCTCTTTTCTATTTGAGCACTAATGAGAACGGCGCCGAACGGTGTTTGGCCTTTCACCGTAATACTAAATCAAACAGATGTCTTCGTCTCTTTCTGTTCTTCGTAGTACATGCATTCAACGGAGTGTGTTGCGCACCATCTAGTGGCCGATAGACACAATGTCGATTCCAAACTAGAAATGGACATACTATCAATGCAATTCGGTTTTATGTACAAAAAATGCATTTAGTTGTCTCTAAATAGTTCCAGCAGTGTGTTTTGTGCGTTTAATTGATGCGTTGAACGTAATGATTTAGAAGTGATTGATAAAGGTATCGGTGAGCAAAACAATGCTTTGTTCTTGCGAAATTGCCGCCAATTCCTTGAGCCATTCGTCTAATAGCACAGCACACAGTGCCAAATCACGCGTTCGCTTATTATTGGTAATGGTCACCGCAACTGTTGACGTTGAACTCGATATTGCATCAATCGACGAGTAGGTTGAACTGTCATTTGACATCGAATCATAGGACATGTGCCCAGGCGACGGAGACAATTCACGTACGGTTGAGCCTGAAATGTGCGAATGAATACGTTAGCATTTGCTTTGTCGTTTGACTGGAATGAGAAACACTACGAAAACATGCTAAAAGCCAAATTTTACGATTGAGTTTTCATGGGAATGGTTGTTGGTTTGGATGTTTTTTTTTTTTCTTCATTTTTTACTTTTATTTTTTCATTTTTTCATTCTTTCTCCAAAATTTTCCTTCAAACTTCAATCGGAATTTCCTTCAGTTTGCTTTGATTGAAGAAATAAATTGAAGAGAAACCAAATAGAGAAAAAATCGTTGGAAAAATCCATAAGAAAATCTTTTGATTGAATCACGATGCCTATTCCCATGAAACCCTTTTTTCCAAAAATATGATCAATAATTTATTGATTTATTGACAATAAAACAATATTTGAATCAAATCTAACTACTTTTTTAATACACAACTTAAAAGGTCAGCAATAATTGATAACGACGAATAGGCTGAACCAAATCGAATTAAATGAGAATGAATCATGCAAGACACGAGGTTAGTACAAAAAGCGAGCATGCAAAACAACACCAATTAACCAAAGCCCAGGTGTTAGAAGTGATTGATAAAAACAAAAATATCAACAGTAGCACATGCAAGGACAGACACCGACACCAATAAAAAAAAAACACATTTTCCCATTGAAATTGAAAGTAAACGAGAACAATTAAAGCAAATGATATTTACCGGTGAAGAATTCTAGAATTTGCGACAAACCTGATAAGAATGACAATAAAAAATACGGAATATTTAAATTTGTTGTTGTTGTTGTTGAAGCCAAATGTAAAAGCATTTTTTTTTCGATAGAACTTTTCAATGACGATGAATTGAATGCCGACAACAATCACATGAAATGGTTTCGGTTTTGTGTACGTCGAAAATAACATTTGCTGATTGAGCCGAAGACTTAATGACTTGAATGTAATTTGGGACAATTTATGAAACTAGGACGGTTAGTCACGAATGGTATGTGATAAAATGTTGATGAGCTGTTGTTAGACGTAAAACAAGCAATATCGATCGTTGATGGTTATACTTAAATTAGATTGATTGACTGAAACGGAATCGTTAGTCGATTTTTTTTTTTTGATTTTTTTTAGAAGTTAGTTGGAGCATAGTTGAATTTAGTTAAATGAGCAAAATTGAATAAGTTTCGTATGAAAAAGCCTGATTGTATGCAAAGAATTTCGAGTTTTATACCGAGCATATGAAATTCTATGCCACAAATATGGTGTTTTTGTCTTACTTGAAGCGAATCTCTATATTTAGCCTAAAATTGATGCCAAAAAAAAGTTTTTTCTATGACCAGATTTGTTTTTACTTTTTATCCTGAATTTGTTTTATTTTGATTCTGATTTCGAGTTTTCAAATCGTTTTTCCCTAATTGAAAAAAACACATCGGCTAAAAATTTCGCAACATATTATTTCTCCTTCTTGTCATTTCTACTAAAAGTGCACACACTCACACACGCGACTGGCGATCTACTTGTTTCACTCTGAAAATCCGAAAATTCCCATTAAACATGGTACCAGAAGTGTCTTACCTCCGCTACTGTTGGTGCTGTTGCTATGACCGCTGGATGGTCTTCGGAAGATGTCTTTGAATGAAGTTGTGATGCTTTTCCGTTTGTTTTCGGCTCGTTTGAATGGATCATAAGATGAGCTGGGTGTAAGTAGTGGCGGTGTTGTCGATGACGTATTGGTCGTTTGTGGATATTTAACCCCATTTGGTCCTGGGTTTTTGGTAATTTCAAACGTATTATTTCGTGCATTAACCAACCGACACTCTCGTTCAATGAGCGTCGTTCGTCCGGCATCGATGTGCTCCAAGGAATCTTCACACACTGGCAATTCGGCATCAATTTGTTGCTTTAGAATTTTTAAAACTTGATGCAACGATGGCGTGTCGGATGTCGTTGGGATATCTGGGCGCAGCAAGATCGAATGGATTAATGGCAGTGGATACCATGCCAAACGCGATATTAATCCAGTCAGATGCAAGTTCACATAAATTCCATTACTGGTAAACGTTTGCAGTTTCCGCAGAAGTGCACTTAAAAAGGGACCTGCCAAAGAAGAAGAGCAAATAACGGAGTTGAAAAGCAATTTTTCTTTCAAAAAATCTACGAAAATTTAAATCGTCAAACAAAATCAATTTTCAAACCCAAGCTCCGAATTTCTTACCCAAAGAAATGGTCCCTTGTGTAAATAGATCTTCGGTGAAGTCTAAATCGATCACAGGTTCTGGGCGTCTACTCGACAATTTCCATGTTTCGTACTTTCGTTTAATGCATCCGTCTGAGTCGATGCTCTCTAAGTTATTTGCTTCAGTTGGCGGCGAGGATGAAATCGTATTCGATCCATTCGTTGTCGATGTGGTATCATCCTCTTCGAATCGATATCTCAGGCTTTCATATCCACTACTTTCGCCGAGTGATTGCAAACTATCTAATTGCTTGGTGCCTTTATCAATGGTCACATCGATGCTATGGCCATTCGATTCATAGCCAAGTTCACTCAATAGACTTTTGATTAGTTCCAGCGAACGTTCATTCTTCTTATTTGCTGGGTGTTTTTGGTAACGGTACGAATTCGACCAATTGTTACACGCCGATTTACAGTGATTAATCCGTTGTCGAGCATCACACAGGTATGCATGGTAGTTTGAATACAGTGAATCGCCCGTATGGAGGCCATAATGATTCCAATTCGCACCAATTGTTTTACTGATCGGCTGAATTTGCTGATGGGCCATCGATTCACTTGGTTGCCGCATTATTTCCGGCGATAGATCAAAGAAAAACTCAACAGCCGTCGAATATGGATCGATTTTGTTGATTTTGTGACGATGCAAAATTGGTATGTGACGACCTGGTAACAAATACTTTAACAACAACTCCAACATTATATCCTCACAGTACAAACTCAACAGTGTATCGAAGAGCGAGAGCGTCACGATGCAGAGCTAGAATAAAGAGTAAAAAAAAATGTTTGAATGTTTTTGTTTGGTATTTTTATCCCTTTTTTTAACAAATTTTTTTTCTCTTTCAACAATTTTTTTTTGGTTTTTCTTCTACTCACCCGATTGTCATTCGACAGCAATCGTTCCACGAGCACATCCAAAATTCGATCACCATCAAATTTCGTTTCGTCCAGTAAAAATTGCACGAAATTTTTCAGCAAAGCCGGCTCAGTAACGGACCGTAGTATCAGATCAAGGTATGCCATTGCCGCAATTTGTGATGCATTGTTTGTCTGAAAGTGGTTGGCTCCTTTGAAAACCTGCAATCGGATTTCACTCAATATGTTAACGCTAATTCTTGGGCTTTTGATTCAAACAGAGTGTTTTCTGATTTCGGTGATTTTTTTACTTTCCCCCGTTTGGTAGTGTGGTGTGGTTCGAATTAGACATTTGTAAATTTTTGTGTTGCATTTTGAAAAACTGTGCAATTTAGTGGTTTAGAAGAATGATTCAAGCAGTGTAAGAATTGGAAAGTAAAAAAAATGAATAATTGCCAGAAATATTTCTTTCTTCACCGAAAACTGCGCCAATAATTTTTATTGGCAAAATGTGAATTTAGACAAATAATTTTACAATTTGAAGCTAAAATTAATATTGAATGAAACACCACTAAATAAAAAATTCGAAAATTTACTTCATTCAATTTTTTGTGAAAATTATTCTTTTTTTTGGAATACGAAGAAAATTTGATTTTCTTAAGCAATAAATCATGAATCGTGATGGCAGAATTCGAAAATAAATTTAAGAAAATTTATAGACATTCTGAAAAATGATAAAAACTCAACAAATAAAAAAATGCGACGAAAAAAAATTAAAACAATAAATAATGGCCTCATTTTCAATACTTTGACCTTAATTCGGTTGATCGAAATTTTGTGATTTTTTTTTACAAGATATTCAAACAAAACAGACCTAATCAAAAAAAATTGTTCATTCAAAATTTAAATATTGTACAAAATTATGGGCCAGGAAATTATAAATTTGGTTGATTATTTGCTTTGATGAAATTTGGTATGAAAATTTAGAAAAAAAAATTGCAATCGATGAAATATCAAAAAAAAAAGCTCAATAAAAATTCCCAAACAAATGTGCAGTGTATTTTTTTTCTAGAATGAAGTTATTAAGCCAAAAACAAATCAATGTAAATCATCGCAAGCAATTTAATGACCGAAACTATTATCCAAAGATAAAAATTAAAGAAAAAAGACCAGAAAAAGCAAGATACCGTCTGATTAAAAAAAAACCTTTGAAAAATCCCAAAATTTAGGAAAAAAGTAATCGTAATTCAAAATGCCCAACAAATAAGTTAGTAGTATCACGAAAAGCGCTTTGTTAGTTAGAAGAGAAGTTCAGTGAACCGATAGAAATGGGCTAGCGAGCGTGGCATTGCATGCAGACACAAAATTTTACAAATGGTAAGATGATTTTATTCACGTTGAATCTCTGCAGCTTCGGTACACATGAAGCGAATCCTCAGGCGCGTTAAATAGCCGACGGCCCAACAATTTAGACATTAACATACAGACCAAGGAAACCCAATAGAAGATTAACAGGTAACATAAGAAAATTCATCGAAATGGATCCATAGCATTATTTCTCTTTAGTTCGAACTGGAATTTTTTTCTACGTTTTTTGTTTTTAAATTGATCGATTCATAAAAACCGGCTTTAGTTTAATTTGAGAAAGGATTTTCGAAATTTTCTAAAAAAAAAAAATCATGAAAATATGTTGATGAAAAACACAAAAAGTGTTTTGAGTGAAATTAACATAAAAATGTCGAAGAATGAATAAAAACTTGTTCCAAAAATGAATTGTGATTTTTTTCTTTGTGAATAATGCTACAGAAACCATTTGAGATTGTGCTGAATGATGGAAGTTTAGCCATTGAAATGCAGTGTGGAGTTTCATACAAGGCAAAGGGTGTTACCTGAAGTAGCGCTGGTCCAAGAATGGGCACGATGAAACCTTGGTACATGAAGTCAAGGAGTTGTTGCTTGATCAGATCGTGAGCAACTTGAACGACAGCATTACAGAATTCGAGGCAATTCATGAAGAGAGTGAGTTTTGGTATATCGGCCACATCGTCCGGTGTGATTCGATACCAGTCACTTTGGCCGATGTCAAAGCTGTTGGGTAGCGATGAATAAAGGCCACCCAATCCAGTTACAAGCACTGGGCACATCGATGAGTATTTGGCTATGTATGTGCCGACATTTGAGTTTTTCTGCGAAAGTGACATGCACAACAGAAGCGCGTCGCGGGCCTGATGACCAAGCGATCCTTCGCTGTGAACGTATGGCAGCAACAGAGAGAATATGATGAAGCTGAATTGAAAGAAGAGAATATGAATTAGAACCAAAAATCTGACGAAATTTAGTTGTGACTCGCAAATAGTTAGTTTACTAACTTTGTTTCATCGCTCTCTTGTTGATGCAATGATGTTGAACAGAAAAACAGGTCCAGCAAATTGACATTCTGCATCAAAACCACACACAATTGATTCAGTAAAATGACGAGCCGCTTTTCGACATCGGTCGGATACTTCACGCCGAGGCTCGAAGTTAGAATTTTCAGCAGTGGACGCAAAAATGATTCATGAACTAGTAACAATTGGTGACGAGAATGTGTGACTAACTGTTCATATAATTTCAATTGCTCCAAACGAACCGCATCCGAATATCTGTAAAAGAAAGACTTTGGTTATTTGCTCTCTAGACGATTAAATTTGAATTGCGAAAAAGTTTGTGATACCTTTCGGTCGTTCTGCCCCATTCGTAGAGTTTATCGAGCAAATTTTCACTTAGCAAATACTCTAGACAAGGTGCTGGTGGGGCGGCCTGCGATGCTGGCGGCGGATATTTATTGCAATTATGCAATTCCAAAAGCAAAAGCGTGACCATGTGATCCATGTGATTGACAACGCCAAGTACATCATCATGGCTTGTTTGGCCATTAGAACTCTGCTGAAATATTAAAAAATTCATTCATTTTCATTTGGTTCCAAAACAGAATAAAAAATTGGTTCAATGAAACTTGAGTTTTTATCCATTGATCCGCTGATCATGATCATTTCAATAAATTGAAGTACTCACTTCTGCCCGCAGAATAATTTCATAGATCTGTTGCCAATGCTTGCAGAAACTGTCATAGCACGCCTTTGGATCGCATTCCGTGTTTGTTGCGTCGATGGATCGACTGCGAGTCGTTCGCGTGAAACTCTGTCGCAACGGACTGGAGCGCAGCCAACTCATCGTTTACGCATTCGTTGTGGAACTTATTTTTAATATCGATTTTTCTTCCTATCGCCAAGAGATTCACACCAACAATCTCTCAATATCGTTTCAGTTGCAGAGGTTCGAGTGTTATTTTACGTCACAATCACATTTAAATGTTGACCAATTCGTGGTACAGAATACCCAGATGAAAAATACAATCTATAACAATGGGAAATAGAGAGAGATAATCGTTAAAAATTGATTGAATCAAAAATTAATAGCAAAATTACACCGCAAATGGGATCGAGAATATTTTCCTGTCACTTTTACATCATAAATGGGATACTAATACATTGACATCTAACATTTTATGTTTTTCTTTCAATTATGTAAACTCCAATATATATCATATAAAACCGTAATGTTCTCTCATACAACTCAATTGAAAATGGAAGAAAAACATTTTTTTTAAATACGGGTTTAATCGGGAAAAGAAGCAATTCTTGTGTCTTGTGTGTCAGCGGCATATTTGCACAATTTTATTTGGCAGAATCGAAACATATTTATTTATTTAAAATTCAAATATTATTATTATTTCACCACAAAACACAATGACGACTTTATTTGACACTACATTGAATACACCCATCAATGTAGTTCCAAACGTTGCCGTCAAAATGTGTGGCGTTGTTGGTTTTACGTTTAATGATCGAGACTATCGCGGTGAACGTGGGATTAGAATACAATCTAGTCTCATTGGAATTGCAGTGTGGGAGAGCTTCAGAGCTAACGGGGTTAAAAAAACAGAACATTAATTTGATAAACGGAATGAATATGTTTCAATGCTTGAATTCCCTAAAAAAAATTCTCGGAATTTCATGTTGAACCAATTTTTCGGTCGAGCAACAAATTTTTGACCGGAAAAAACACGATAACACATTTCCACGTGGTCTAATGACGCAGAAACGGCTATAAACCGAAAGAGATATGAGGCTGTGAGAATGAAAATGGCAATACAGGAATAAACATTCTGAAACGCATCAAGAAAAAAAATTCACAAAAATGAATCATGAGTTCTGAATATGCAAAAGTGAAACATGAATTTACATGGGCAGCATAGGAGGTTCATGGTTCACTTTTGCGTATTCAGAACTCATGATTCATTTTTGTGAATTTTTTTTTTCTTGATGCGCTTCAGAATGTCTATTCCTGTATTGCCATTTTCATTCTCACAGCCTCATATAATGACCGAAAGTGTTGCCCGCTTGAAATTGGCCGAGTTTCTTACTGCTTGCATTTAGAGATTCATTTTCTTTCTTACTCTTTTTATCTTGAAATATTTCCCTTCCAAAACATTTAATTCAATTTACAGATTCGAAGAAAAATGTCTAATTCAATTTGCATATGAAATCAGTGCATAATAATTCAATTTGCTTTAAACAAAACAACAAAACAAATGAATAATCTAATTTTAACTTTCTGTAGAAGCATGTGAACCAGATTTCCACTTTTGATTCGATTTAAATGACCAACATCGTTGATGAAATCCAATATGAAACCTCAAAAGAGCTAATCAACTGTGAATTCTCAACGGGTTTAATCAATTTTCTTTCTATTTGGCTTTTTCGCTTTTTTCTCATTGTCTTTTTTGTCTTTCCCTCTATTTTTGCTTTTTCTCTTCTTTTCTCTTTCTCCCTCTTCTTTCTTCGTTTTTTTTTTCTATTTCCATCCAATAATAATGACAATTAAAGTCACAAAAGGGCAAAATTGGTTGTTTAGGAACGATAAATATCTTCGAGTGTCAACAAAATAAGCCTCAAGTCACAAAAAAACATAACAAAAATCCAAAATGACTCACATGGCATACTCGATTAGCCGAAAAACACGCGACTTTCGGTTTAAAAAAAAGATTGAATCAAATGTCTGTATTCTGTATCTTTTGTTTGTTTAAATTTCTTATTTTGGTTGTATTTTTTGTGTGTCTAAAAACACGATTTGCATTTAAAAATCTATCAACACAAATAAAAACGAACGAATTCTAAAAGAAAACAAAATTTTGAAAGAAAAAACAACAATAGCGAACTATTTTAAGCAATTTAACGTCTGTGTTGATAAGTCTACGCAACATTAATGATCTAACAGTGCTTGAACGGTGGATCGTTGCCATTCCACGATAAACCTCATTCTGTGTGCAAATCACATAACTTCCCACGATTATCATTTTGTATCAAAAGTAAAAGTGGAATATTTTTTCTTCTTGCTTGAATTTCCCATCCGCATCAACAGCGAGCGAAGAGAAAAAAAAATGTATTGAGAAATTGTTGATAATTATAGAGGTGTTGTGCGGTATCATTGAACAACTTCATTGCAGGGAAATGCGAATGCGCACCGAGCGAATAGAACAGATATGATTTGTATGCAGATAATTGAGCTGCGCCAAATATGTTGCTCTCTCATTTCTCTCCTCACTAACAGTAGACATGATAAAAATGCGCTCATCCAATGAAAAAAACAACACGAACCAACAATACAAGAACGAAGAAACCAAGCATCAAGCAACTGGATGAAAATATTCAGTTCACGCACCAGCACTTTGTACAAACCAATTACACACTTGGCTACCGCACTTAATTCACACACCATACACAACGAATTCTTTTCCTCTGCTTTTCTTGCGGTTTAGAAAGAGTCTGCTCGCCCGGAAACTAATTCAAACTACTTTTTAAAGCCATTGTTCGAGTAAATTTCACTTTGGTGGATCGGAAATTTCGCACAATAGAACAGAAACCAAATTATGCGTAAATAATCAACGACTGAATCACATTCGCTCATTGAAACAACATTCGTCGATAAGACGCTATTCATATGCAAATAACCCATCTCAAGGCAACGACGACGATGACGACGATTTGGTTTGTTTGTTTATGTTGATAAAACAAAACTGAATTTATTACACACAAAGACGAGTTTTTGTTTTTGTTGTTGTCGAACGAATACTCAGAATTGTTATCACACACTTGGGGCTTGGTGCGTTGCTTTCTTCTCTTTTTTGGTGAATTTTTATGTGAGTTTTGTAGGGAACAACACGATCACTTTTAAATGGCTTTGAATTGTTCAGGTTTTTTTGGGGAATCACTTTATTGGATTTTTTTTATTCGGAATGCTGCATTGACCATAGACTTGTGACCAATATTTTTCAACGACTTTTCACTTTTTCAACATTTCCTCGGAGGACTTTCAAATTCCGAAGATTTTCCTTAGGCTAGTTTTTTGTTTGATATTTTGAACTTTGATCGAACTGTTGTTTGATTCCATGAAACACTTCCTTTTTCGGTACAATCGAATTTTCCACTTCAATAAATTTGGTTTATTAACTATTTGATATGTTAATTTCACTCAAAAAGACTCCTTTTTTCTCAAAATTTTTGTAAAATCGTCATTTTTATTCGAAACACCGATATGTTTTCACCGAAAAATTCCATTTCCAACTAACACCGTCAGAAAAACCATGACAATTTGTCGTGTGTCTTTCTTCAACAATTTCTCTAATTCCATTGAATTTTCCCTCCTCTCAATAAAAAAAAATCAGTCTCACATGAACGATAGCGTTCGATAAACATCAAAAAATAGTTGTCAATATTCATGAGTGATCGAACGAACGCCATAGGCGTGAACATTGATTAAAAATGCTATGATTTGCAGTAGGAATGAGCGACGCGCGTGTTTGCAATGCGATGCCATATATGAAAAGAAAACAACAACAAAAAATTGATGAGTAATTGAATAACAAATGGAAATCATCTGAGGCTGCTATAAAGCGATCGTTGAATCTTTCGCATGAATTGAGATGCAAAGTGTACGACAAGTGAATGCCATCTCAGTTACGCTGGTATGCTGTGCTATGCCGTGCACATCGTTCCGTCTATCTCATCGCTACCTTCACCGCACATTCCAGCAACAACAACAACAACAACCATAGCTTATTAATTGGTTTCAATCAACCGATTCCAATGCAAACTGACACACATTTTTACTGGCCACTACTACAACAGCATACAAGTACGGAGTGTCGCGCGCACGGCGCATTCATTGTCCATCATTCTGATTATGTTCAGACACAGAAAAACATGAAACAAAAAAATTTGTAGCGAATCGGAATGGCACGGCATTGCACCAGCCGCTGCACAGAGAGTCGAGAGCAGAGAAAAAACATACGTTCATTCGTACACACAGTCCCATTCACTTGATTCCGATCAATAACTCTTTTGAGTTTCAATAGATTTTCACTTTTTCTTCCGCATTTCAATACACCATTAACCAAACGGAGAAGATAAAACTTCTAATCCATTGGAAAAAAATGAACTTTGCCTCAATAATTAAGTAGAAACAGATATGATTCAGACATTTGTCGCCGATTTCGTCTCAAATACAAATGAAAGACATGAACAAGAAAAATGCCAATTTACCAAATAAAACACGTCTTAAACTAATTACACTGCACGCTAACACTATTCACAATGCATTTATTTGATAGAGTAAACATTTTCGCTGGTTTCAATTTTATCGAATTTCTACATAAATTTTGTTTGCTTTTTTTTCTATCGCAATCAACACACAATGATCACATTTCGTGAGATTTTTATTGCAAAAAATACGACACCAAAGACAATGAATTTGCGATTGTATCACTTGTGTTGTAGTTTTGCTTGTGGTTTTTTTTTCGCTCTGTTGGACTCTTCTTCTTTTCCATCGCCGTCAATGAAATGTCGACGTAGTTCGACTCCGGACCGTGTGGCGGCGCGCAACACACTGAACGGAATCGAAGACAGTGAAAGTGTCGGCAATGAAATTTTATTCGTTCGTTTTATTTGTGAATCGAATCACAGAAAATTATCGATTGAAGTGAAAAGGAATTGCGTTTTTGTAAAGAAAATCAAATGATGAACACATTTTGATAAATGGTGACCAGCGGAAAATTTGCTGTGAATTGCTAAATGCGTACAAAAAAGATACGTCCAGCATCAGATATACCATTTTTTTTAGTTCATGATATCTGACTGTTTGACTATATACTTTCATTGGCACCGCTAAACACCACTCGCAACGTGTTTTTTTTTCTTACCAGTTTGGTTGAAAGCTGTGAAGAGCTTCATCGTGTGTTCTTTTTATTATTTTAATTTGTCAAAAATAATAGATTCGATTACATGAAATTATCTCCATAAATACTTGTTCACCAAGTCCATTTGCATTTGTGAGCGTAGTTTTCAAATTGCATCTACTATATTTGAATCGTCGAATCGGAGCAAAGCAAGCAGAAAAAAATTTCATCGTCACAACGAACCATAGTACAAGTGAGCTAGTGCAAAAAAAAGCAACCAACTATGTGAGTAAAATTGATATTTGCTTATATTGGTGAAGCTGCACAACTCGAAAATGCGACACAGCGCAAAATTTTCGTGAATATGGATTGTTCGGCAAAATTGAACGGCGGCAATTCAATTGGAGAATTGAATAAGCAACGCGATAGATCAAATAACGCCAATTCCCATGATGTTGATCGAGTGGAATTACTAGCAAAAATTACCAAACTACATGTGTATTAGGTGAACGCGAAGGTCAAGAATCACTTGAATCCGATTTGATGGGCTGCATGAAAATATTTAGAGAATGCATTGGCTCAAGAGCGCGCTAAAGTCTATCGTATGAAATACGGTTGCGATCCACCATCGCTGAGTGAAGTCAGTGCACCGGCCGATGATCCGATCATCACAAATGAATTGCACCCGATTTGGAAGCACCAGGCAGCCCAGAAAAGTGGCGTTCATTTTTACAAAAGTTTGGCTTCGACACGAGCACCATTATTTCGAAACGTGTGCGCTTGGTGGTCGGCCTGACCAACGGTTCGGAGCAAGAGGAAAACATTAATCCAAATGTAATCGCTAATGAAGGTACTAACTACTATTGGCCTAACTAAGGAGTGCACTAAATGTATGCTTATGGCCAATTTTGAATTCCTAGGCATGGCTGAAGTTGAGATGTCAGACCATGGTGGTGCATTAGATGAATTGGATATGGTCGTAGGCGATGAAGGTGATGAAAGCGATGCTAAAACCATGGAACGTAAAACCAAAGGAATCACTTTGCATGATGGTAAGTTTTCATTTACAAAATATTCATATACATTTTGTATGACAAAAAGCTTAATCACCTGCAATCACTTCATTTCCGTAGATGTTGATGCTATCGAAGATCATGAATTGAAATGAATGAATGGCAAACACAAACTGGGGCAGAAGGCGAGAGAGAGAGAGAGAGAGAGAGAGAGAGAGAGAGAGAGAGGGAGGGAGAGAAAGAAAGAGCTAGAGAGAAAGGGAGAAAAAAGAAAGAAATTGCGACTTTGTTGTATTGCCCCCGATTAGGTTCTGATTATAAATTCTGTGGATATAAATATTATTACTATCATTAATCATCTCTTTTTTTTCTGTGGACATTTTCGGTCAATCGAGCAAACAAATTGAAGCCAATTGAGTAAAGAAATTGTTTTTGAAAATCAAATTGTGCAACAGTCGTTCATCATTATTCATTTTTTTTCAAACATTTTTTTTTATGCAAATTTTCTATTGCAAACTCGGACTGCAATGGATGCTGGGGATGTGTTGGAGCATGCACCGTTACTGATTGGCAGTTTTCATTCGAATCGCATTCGTCTCTAGATCGTTTTGTGCGTTAAGCCGTTCACAACACAATTCTCATCGTTGAAAAATGTGAACCAATGGTGTTTGTTGCAGTTTGAAGTCGAAAGAAATCATTTAGCAATTTTTTTTGTATAATAACGAGTAATAAATGTAACAATAAATTCTATTTGCAGCATTACACCCAAAAATAGATATAATTTGAATTAATTTCCAATTTCAAAAAAAAAAATCTCGTGACTTCAAGTTCCAACTTTTAAAAGAGTGGCAAAAATGTCTCATTCACCATTCGATTTTCAGCCATTTCTTCTACATTTTTTGTGTTTGAAATGTTCAATTTTAACAGTTTAAAGTCCTCATTGAGGACTCCTCAACTAAAAAGAACGTCTCTTTATTTACGTTTTCGGTGAGTTTTTCATCGTCTGAACTGTGTTAAACTTGATTATGTATCTGAATACATAAACTACAATCCCAAATAAATCCATGCACAATGCACACATAGGCGAAAGTATTCCAAGTTCTTTTGATAATTTTGAACCTT